TTTAAACAGCTTGCCTATGAATATACAGATGTAATTTATCTGCGGTGGATTGTTCAGTGTGTGGAGCATGGCCCCTTTACAGTAGAAAACTATCTGGAAGCAAACACACAGGCCACTCAAGCTGCGTTTCCACAAGCAGGCCAATTCTGATCAGAATTGGGGTGCCTGAGTTAACACAGCCTCAGAATCTGTCCCTTCAACTTCTCAAGGTCTTCAGTGAAGGTCTTTTTCATGTGGGTTTCATATGTAGGACACAAGGTTCGGATTTGTAGACCCTCCGTCACATTTTTCAGTGTCTATTCATTTCAGTGCATATTTTATAGCAAGAATAGTTACAGTACCTTGAATGTACTATTGACTCTGAGGTTTAAAAGCCACTTTCATTCTTTGGATGTCTGTCCATACACCAAAAGTGTTACATTCCTTTTAGTGAAAGAGAGATAAGGTACCTTTCAGGGAAAGTGGCCTTGCCATTTGAGGGATTATACGCACAGATACAATTATTTAAAGTTTTTAATGGACAATCTATTAAGTCTACGTCAATGAGCACTCCTGATGTACTCTGACAAGACAAAGAAAGTATTTCAAATGTACCCAGAGGAATAATACATTAATAAACCAGTTTGAAAATGGCACATTCTGGGATTTTATAGGTAAACTGATTCAGTGTGCACTGTGGACCACCCGTAATTCAACATTTAGGGGTCTTTAAAAGTGTTCATCATTGGGATAATTATTAGCAGAAGTTTAAAAACAAGGACCCACCAGGTAGAGCAATTTCTCAGGAATGCAATGTCCATCCAGCACTCCCCCCCCCCCATTATCACTGAGAATTACCCCTCAAAGAGGCACAAGAGGAAACAACATGTAGCCTCAGCTCAATTCTGTGGCTTTCCTTCTCTGTTTAGAACGGGTCAAGTTAGCATTGGGTCATTGAAAAGGACATATCATTGGGCCATTTAAGAGGACGAATCCATCCATTTTATAGGATAATTCAAAGAGGTGTCAGAATCTCCGATTTATGGTCAGAGTGCATCTAGGAACACGACGGACGAGAAACTCAAGGTCATCGTTTGTACGCCTTGGTTCCATTAACCTGACTGTCTCAGTGATGCTACAGTCACTGTAGCCGGAGATACATTTCATTTACTCAGAGGGCACACTCCCCTGATGTCTGCTTTGGCAATAAAAGGCCGGAGAGTGTACAAAGCCTGCTTATTATCAGAGACAGATTCATTGTAGTGGCTCCAACTCTATCAGTCAACCTCTATTGATGTCTTTTTGTCCTTCCTCATGCAATCCCAATACATTTTCCTCTTTCCTTTGGAAAGCTATGTAAATGGCCTTAATAGTTCTCCCATGCGGTTTTCGAGTTGTGGTAATATCTTTCAGTTCCACGGTCTCATCATAATGCCATTGTTGTTTTAAGGTTATATGTGCTTCAATGGCAGCTCTGTTGACATTTTAGCACAGGAGAATGGGGCTATCCAAAATCCTCCCATACAGCAGATTTGTCTAAATTATAATTGCTTTTTATTTTTGCTGATCCACAGGGTGCACAAGAGGAACGTTTTAGTTTTAGATTTAACTACAAGATAATACAAATACTGTAAGTTAAGCTATCCCTCGCGGGTCTATGATTCACACCTCAAAACAAATACCACTTCAAAGAAATAGCTAAGCCAATTGCTTCAGAAGCAATGACTAATGTGGCAGCTGTACGTTCCCTGAAGTCAAGTGCCCTTCCCCCCTCCCAGCAAGACAATTAATTCCTTGGTTCTAATAATAATAATACTGATCCCCTCTGTTGAGGCCAGCCCAGCATGTTTCCAAATGAAAGATTGTGATAATCTATGATGCTCTGATCTCTTCTAGTACATTGTGTTCCTTTTCGTGTTTCAACATTTGCTGACTGTGTTTGACTGAGTATTGGTATGAAACAAGAGTCTAGCATGTCAGTGTCAAATTAACATAATGTAGAGTTGTAGCATGATGTGTTGACCTAGTGTATTGACGTAAAATACAAACCATTTCTAATAGTTGTATTTGATCAATTGTGTAACGCAAAACTATAAGGTAAAACAAAAAACAAATACTAAAAATGTCTCATGTTCCTACATACTGTACAACCTGTTGCTTTTCGTTCTCATACGGGTAATTTAAATAAAAAATTAAAACATCTGGACTAAATGAACAAATCAACACAATTACAATTAAACATTTATGAACCATTATCCACCCTAGTCAACCTTGGCCAATGTCTTCCCTATCAACATTAGGTTGTTCTCTACAATATACTTGAATATACTTGAAATATATACACTACCAGTCAAAAGTTTGGACACCTACTCATTCAAGGGTTTTTCTTTATTTTTTATAATTTTTTACATTGTAGAATAATAGTGAAGACATCAAAACTATGAAGTAACACATATGGAATTATGTATTAACCAAAAAAGTGTTAAACAAATCAAAATATATGTTATATTTGAGATTCTTCAAATAGCCACCCTTTGCCTTGATGACAGCTTTGCACACTCTTGGCATTCTCTCAACCAGCTTCATGAGGTAGTCACCTGGAATGCATTTCAATTAACAGGTGTGCCTTCTTAAAAGTGAATTTGTGGAATGTATTTCCTTCTTAATGCATTTGAGCTAATCAGTTGTGTTGTGACAAGGTAGGGGGGTATACAGAAGATAGCCCTATTTGGTAAAATACCAAGTCCATATTATGGCAAGAACTGCTCAAATAAGCAAAGAGAAACGACAGTCCATCATTACATGAAAGTCAGTCAATACGGAAAGGTTCAAGAACTTTGAACGTTTCTTCAAGTGCAGTCGCAAAAACCATCAAGCGCTATGATGAAACTGGCTCTCATGAGGACCGCCAGAGGAATGGAAGACCCAGAGTTGCCCCTGCTGCAGAGGATAAGTTCATTAGAGTTACCAGCCTCAGAAATTGCAGCCCAAATAAATTCAAGTAACAGACACATCTCAACATAAACTGTTCAGAGGGGACTGTGTGAATCAGGCCTTCATGGTTGAATTGCTGCAAAGAAACCACTACTAAATGACAACAATAAGAAGAAGAGACCTGCTTGGGCCTAGAAACACAAGCAATGGACATTAGACCGGTGGAAATTTGTCCTTTGGTCTGGAGTCCAAATTGAAGATTTTTGGTTCAAACCGCCGTGTCTTTGCGAATGAGAATGATGGAGTGCTGCATCAGATGACCTGGCCTCCACAATCCCCCGACCTCAACCCAATTGAGATGGTTTGGGATGAGTCGGATGGCAGAGTGAAGGAAAAGTGCTCAGCATATGTGGGAACTCCTTCAACACTGTTGGAAAAGCATTCCAGGTGAAGCTGGTTGAGAGAATGCCAAGAGTGTGCAAAGCTGTCATCAAGGCAAAGGGTGGCTACTTTGAAGAATCTCAAATATAAAATATATTTTGATTTGTTTAACACTACATGATTTCATATGTGTTATTTCACAGTTTTGATAACTTCACTATTATTCTACAATGTAAAAAATAGTAAAAATAAATAAAAACCCTTGAATGAGTAGGTGTGTCCAAACTTTTGAATATTTCAATATACTTGAATATACTTGAAATATATATATTGCACATTGAATATTATAATATACTTGAATATACTTGAAATATATATACAGTATTGCACATTGAATATTTCAATATACTTGAAATATATATATTTCACATAGAATATTTCAATATACTTGACTATACTTTAAATATGTATATATTGCACATTTAATATTTCAATATACTTGAATATACTTGAAATATATATATTTTACATTGAATATTTCAATATACTTGAAATATATATATTGCACATTGAATATTTCAATATACTTGATTATACTTGAAATATATATATATTGCACATTGAATATTTCAATATACTTGAAAAAGGCCTAGTTTAATATGACTGATCAAATACTAATATAATGATAAAATATATTCACAGTATGTGCTGTACAATGAAGGGTTAATCCCAATTCTGATCATATGAACATTTACATTTTAGTCATTTAGCAGACGCTCATACAGGAGCAATTAGGGCTAAGTGCCCTGCTCAAGGCTCAAAACTAGTTATGCTCTAAAGTGCATGGTAAATTTGACAAAATATGTCCATTTGTCCAACTGTCAAGCTATTCAGATATAAATATGTTACTAACATAATTGTGTTGCATGACTTTCTGAGTTTGGTCAACATTCTACACATAATAATTACAATTTCACATATGGTTTCGAAGGTGGTTCATTGAACACACCATAAAATGATTACTTTTCCTGTTACTCAATATACATAACTGGAACCATGGTTCACCATATGTGGCGCATATTGTTTAACTTTAAAATGCTTCTTCTTCTTCTTTTTTTGAAGTACATTTCTCACACAAACTTTATGCATTGAGTATGATTTTCAATTTCAAGTACCAAATACACAGTGATATGTAAAACAAAATAACATGACACCATCATTTGTCCTATCAGAGCCATTGCCTATTATTTGTCCTGTGGTCAAATACAAGAGTGTGCCATGCTATCGACAAACGTTCTCTGCATTTCAGTGTCATCTAACATTTAATTTCAGACAGTGTGCTCTAAAATGCAGATGAACACCCATTCAGAATGCCTATCAGAACACTCCATTGAAAAGAATCGATTTAGGGAACATTGTATTCTGATGCTTGGTTTGGGTCTGTCCAAATAACCTGACAAAATGTGGAGCTAATGTTCTTGTGTGTGCCAGGTGTGAACAATAATGACAGTTATTTTCTATACATTTATATCGCCTTCCTCTACTCATGAACTGAATAGGATTCCTCAGTCTAGAGTAGTGTTTGCTGACTGGTCCAGGGGGTTATCTGCCCCAATTTAGTCAAATGTCAAATACAAGTTTTCATCTAAACCATAGCTTGCCGGTCTCTGTGAGTGAAACGAGAAGTTTAAGAAACACTCTTGTAGCTAGATCACCAGATCTGGTCTCTCAGCCAGTTTGAGGGCCTCGTGCATGCTGGCGGCGGAGAGTTTGCGGTTGATGTTCCTGTACCTGCAGAGCAGGATGTTACGGTAGGTGGTCCTCAGGTCCCTGTTGAAGAAGGCGTAGATGAATGGGTTGATGAGGGAGTTGGCGTAGCCCAGCCAGAGCAGGAACCTCTCCACCCAGAGGGGAACGCAGCTACACTCCGGCCCGCAGATGAAGGGCCTGGCCGTGGACAGCAGGAAGAAAGGCAACCAGCAGACGGAGAAGGCCCCCACCACGATGCCCAGCGTGGCAGCCGCCTTCTGCTCCCGTTTGAAGATGGAGATGTTCTTCCTGTCATTCTTCAGCAGACGAGAGAAACTGGCGCACTCCTCCACCTCCTTCTGGAGCTTCAGGGCCGCGGCCGCACAGTCAACACTGTTGCATTCGTCCTCCGCCTTGGGGAAGCCTTGGATGGTGTGCTTGGCGACACTCACCTTGGCCGCTCGGTAGATGTTGTAGTACATCATCAACATCACCGACATGGGGATGTAGAACGCGACGGCGGTGGAGTAGATGGTGTAGCCCACGTCCTGGCTGATCAGACACACCTTGTCGTCGTTGACGTTCTGGGCCCAGCCGAACAACGGCGGCAGGGTGATGGAGGCCGACAGCAGCCACACAGACAGAACTATTTTGGCCATGCATCTCCCACTCTGTCGCACAGGGTAGGTCAAGGGTTTAGTTATGCCTAGGTACCTGTAACAGCAAAGAGATTCGTTTTAAATATTGAGAAGTCTCTGATGGAAGTAATGTGATTGACATTAAGTACTCACAGGATAGTATAGCTTCCTCAAACTCTGGACCTCGAAGTCAGTTCCACTGCGTTTTTTCATTGTTCCCCTCTAATCAGGGACTGATCTACCTGGGACACCAGGTGGGTGCAATTATTTATCAGGTAGACCAGAAAATCAGCAGGCTCTGGACCTCGTAGGGTAAGTGTTGAATACCCCTGGTATACTTAAGCAATAAAGCCTGAGGAGGTGTGGTATATGGCCAAAATACCACGGCTAAGGGCTGTTCTTATGCACGACGCAACGCAGAGTGCCTGGACACAGCCCTTAGCCGTGGTATATTGGCCATATACCACAAACCCCTGAGGTGCCTTATTGCTATTATAAACTGGTTACCAACTTCATTAGAGCAGTAAAACTAAATGTTTTGTCATACCCGTGGTAGACGGTCTGATATACCATGGCTGTCAGCCAATCAGAATTCAGGGCTCGAACCACCCAGTTTACAATGTAGATGAAGGGGTGGCCAACCGTCTTCCTAGAGAGCTGCTGTGCAGGCTTTTGCTCCACCTGATTATGCTAATCAAGGTCCTGATGAGCAGCTGATTAGAAGCAGGTGTGTTAGAGCAAGAGTAAAAACCTGCACCCTTCCCCAGTCCAGAAACTCTTGAGGAGGGTTGGCCACCCCTGGTATCGGGTTGACAGGGTTGGTATAGATACAATAATCCATTCTCAATTATTCATCAATGGTTGAATAAAAAAAAACATAAGCAAGTCTGTTCATTGGTGTTAATTGCTGTTGACTTTGTCTCTCATGTACATTTCTTATAAATGAGACTAACCTGGATAAATAATGGTTTGGGGGGAAACAAATAACATTTGCAGTTTATTGGTTTTATTAGGGAGTCGAGACTGCATCTTGACTCACCTGTCTATGCTTATTACACACAGGGTCATGATGGATGCAGTGCAACACATCACGTCCATGGCAATAAAAACGTTGCAGAACACCTGTCCGAAGATCCACTGCCCCCCAATGAGGTCCGTGATGCTGACAAAAGGCATCACCGCCACCGCAATGGACAGGTCCGCCACCGCCAGGGAGACGATGAGATAATTGGAGGGCTGCTTCAGCTTCTTCACGAAGCACACGGATATCACCACAAGTAAGTTCCCGCAAATGGTGAGCACAGTGAGCACGGTGAGGACTCCTCCGATCAGCACCTTCTCCACATTCCCGTGGCTGAGAATCTGCATCGCGCATGTAGTGTCATTTTCCGTGGGGCTCAGAATTGGCAAAGTTGCGGTGGTTGTTTGGTGCGCCCTCAGCAGACGCAGATCCATCCCCGCTGTAGTCATGCTGGTCCTGACAAGTTCCTTCATCAGGTCTTTGGTCAAAGATGATCTCATAAGATTAATAAGATTTCATTGGTTCCATTATTGTATATTAATCCGTTATTAATAATGCATTGGGAATCCATCAATTCACAATGATTATTCCCCCCAACTTCATTGATTCCTTTGTCTTTTCCATAATTTCCCCCAAATTACCAGTCCCTGTAGTCCGTTATCCATGCAGCGGCGCCAAAGCAGCAGGTTAATGGGATAGAGTAAATTGATAGGATAAACAGACTCCGGTTAACAAGCTTGGTTTGTAATACATTGTAAAATCTAATGCTATTCATTGGTGATCATCACGCGAGTGGCTAGCGCAGCAAATAACTCTGGAAATGTTGTTTCGGCGAGAGGGGAATATACCGGGATGACGTCAGAAGAACCCGCAGCGATGTAGGCTAGCCTAGTTAATCGTCACCACAAATTCATAATTATGGCCAAACCCCGCCTATTTCTACAATATCTCTACTTAAAATCTGATTTTTAACCTTGACCCTAACCTTAACAACACTGCTAACCTTATGCCTAACCCTAACCTTAAATTAAGACCAAAAAGCTATTTTTTTTAATGCATTTTTAGGATATGGACAATGTTAACTATGTGGCTGTGCTAATTAGTGACAAACAGTCTAGTTGGATATTATTCTATAAAGATAAAGCATATGCATATCACAGAAGTTTACAGTTTGTTTGGGAGCAACACATTGTTGTCATTATTTTACCAATTATAGCTAGTGTGTGTGTTTGTGTGTGCGTGTATGTGTGTGAGAGAGGGGGAGAGAGAGCGAGAGACAACACTGTATATAGACATAATATGACATTTGAAATGTCTTTATTATTTTGGAACTTTTGTGAGTGTAATGTTTACTGTTCATTTTTTATTGTTTATTTCACTTTTTTTTATTATCTATTTCACTTGCTTTGGCGTCTGCTAAATGGCATATTATTATTATTATTATTATTATTATTATGTTTCCCATGCCAGTAAAGCCCCTTAAATTGAATTGTGTGAGCGAGAGAGAGCGAGAGAGAGCGAGAGAGTATCCAATCTATGCACTTTGGCGCCATCCTGTGGCTTTACTATAGGTATTTTTTTTAATACAATATCCAAATTTTTTCACACAGTCAAATATAGTGATTTTATTATATTTAGGATTTATATATTTACATGAAAAGGGGCATAATCTTAAAGTGGCAATCTGTAGTTGCTGCATACATTTTTGGGGGACTTATAAATTAATGATATAGGCCTACCCATTGATTCTTAAAGAATATACTTTAGAAATGCATAATTAACTTAGTTCAACTGTCATACTCCATCAGAACCCAAAACATACGATGGTTATACGGCAATGTTTGTAAACAAAGTAAATCTAAGGAAACACTGTATAGCCTCATAACATGGTTAAAACTATCATTTTGATATCATGGATGGTCATCCCTCATCTTTTTACCGAAACAGGCTTTGTTATTGTTTCATCTGCGGATTGCCACTCTAAAGACTTCAGAGATGTGGGCTAGCTATTTTGTCTATTTATGTTTTAGATTTGTATTTATTTATGGGAAACTATGTGTTCTTATTAGGCTAATCTCTCGTGAACAGATTTTCGTGGACAAATGAAACTTTCGCGAGAGAATTTTACTTCTGGGTAACCGAGATTATTATTAGGCCTACTTGTAGCCTATTGTAATGAGACGTGTTACATTGTTCCTATCAGGCCTACAGTGTAAGAAAGTAATTAATTAGCCCCGTTTTTGATAGGCTACACTACAATAATAATTACACAATAATAACTGTCCATTTAGCCCAGTCAGTTCATGTGTAACAATATAACTGCAACTGATTTGGGCCATGGGAGATGGCAATAAGACAAGTTTAGAAATGTAATAATTTTTCCCCAGGGGAAATTTGGGGGGTCTACGAAATAGCCTGTACAATGACGTAGGCTGTCGGCTGTTTAACTCGGAAGCTGCAGCAAGAGACGAGCATGAAGAAGCAAGATGACCGACAGTTACCTCAGCCGAACGTCCTAGCAGTTGTTACATTGTTCAACTATCCACTTCGACGCAAGGGGTATCATTATTTTCTGTAGCAATAGATCTTTACCAAATAGCCTGACATCGGTCCTTTTGAAGAAACATTGCGGAAGAAAGCGGATTAATTGTCTGAAACTGTCCGCTAGTGCTTTCCCTGCGCAAAAAAAAAATGGATAACGTTAGTGGCAAAGCATCGGATCAGAAAAGAACAGGCGTTTGCCAAGAGAATGGTGTGACAAATGGATTCCATCCTACACAAACTGGCAACGGGAGCTGCAATGCCTTAGGTTCAAACGGAACCAGTAGTAGTGAAGGCTGTAGTAGTAGTAGTAGTAGTAGTAGTAGTAGCCATAATGGAATTGAACATTTCCGCGATCTTCAGGTCCAGGAGGACGTCCATAATAATGGGTCGCCTCTAAAGCGGTGCAGACTCAGGAGAAGAATGGATTCTGGCAAAAAGAGCAGACCGCGTAAGTAGGATACAATTGTAATGCAATATTTTAGCCTCAACGCTAACTGTCATGTCGGCTGTCAAAAATCGGCTACTTATTTGCATTATGCAAATTAGACGACATTGAAACTGTACACATTCGGTCAAATCTGCCCTACGCAATTTTTAAGCATCCTCTCAGAAATGACAAGCACAGCAGGGTTTTCTGTCAAAGCATTGATTGCACATCATTCTGGGTTTCCGATATTACACATCGAAAGTGAAGATCGCCTGGATTTTCTATGGTGGCATCTCTATTTCCATGAAACAATGAACCAGTTAGACTTGCTGCTGCTGGATAGAATATCGCTTTGTGTTGCGAGGCTTTGCCAAGAATATCAATAAGCAAGCCTACCCGCTATGTTTGTGGAGAATTTGTTTGTAAGCCTATTCCTGTATCCTCCAACAACATTCCAGGTATTTCTGAGAAATGCACAATTACTCAAATAATAAGAATCAAGCACCATAAATAAGTAATTCTGTATTGTTTATCCATTTTTTTATCATATACTAATGCGACATATTATTTGATTCAATGTAACCCTCCCGGTAATAGAACATGAGATGTATCATCTTTCTCTCCTCCCCTTTGCAATTGTGAGATCTTTGATGTTGTCCGTTGAACCATTTCATTGGTCGTTTCAAAGTCAGGAGGTGTGCTGAAATCGCTGCTGATATGAGAGCCAGCTCCTTTTGACCAATCAGTCGTCAGTACTTGCTTAAGGGGGTTGGCTGAAGAAACTGACAGAGCAGCCAGCTCCATGAACAACACAGTATGTTGCTCTGTCTCCGCTATAACGCTGTAAAACAAGTTTGTCACTCACCATGCCAGTTAAGTGTAGTCTGCTTTATTGCTGCGACGACATCATGCCACAATGCAATAGGACTGATTGAGTGATACTACTACTCATAGCCCAAGTCTTGGATTGAATTGTATTTGACCATAAGCACTTTGACCTGAGGATCACAATGAAGCTTATTGTTAAAAAGCCAGGTAAGATTTTCTACTCTACTGTATTTTAAAGGGCTGAGATATACGTATTTACTTACTTTTATTTGCTTATTAACATCTCTTGCTACCGTGGCTGAATCAAATCTCAGCAAACAAACAGCAATTTACCTAATTTCTTATACTGCAATGCTATACACACTGGGCGTCAGGAACGATTTGGCTGTTTTGGTAAGAAGCTGTCTTTATCTGTGTGGTGAATGCATGCAGCTCAGCCATTCATCCAAGAGGTTGCTACACTATGCTGGCTTGTCTGCATTCCTCTGGGCACTGATCAAATATGTCTGGAATCCAAACAGACAGCTTCTATTATATAATTTAATAGGAGTGATTGTGAACAATAGTTGAAAGTTGATAAAATCCACTTGGCATGAAGACAAATACAAATGTTTACCCTCCAGCAGAGGAGGCTGGTGGGATGAGCTATCGGAGGATGGGCTCATTGTAATGGCTGTAATATAATTAATGGGACAGAGTCAAACATGTTGTTTCCATATGTTTGATCTGTTTAATACCGTTCCAAATATTCCATTCCAGCCATTACAATGAGCCTGTCCTCCTATAGCTCCTCCCACCAGCCTCCTCTGCCCTCCAGTATGATCAATCGAATAAGCATAATATGATTTGCTGATGTCAGCTAATTGGTAGTTCCCTTTGAATGCCACGAACTGAATACCAAATGGAGCTAGGCTGTGCCAGTCACTCAATTATGGAAATGTATGGCATTAAATCCTTGACTTGATCTTTGGTCCTTTGTTGCACATGCATGTGTGTGTGACCACTGTAAGGCTCTGCTCTGACTAGCTGCTGAGAACTTTGCTCTCTGGGTGGGGGAATAAACACACCTTTCACCTATAAGTGCTGCCAGTCACGGTGCCCTGGCTACCAGGTTACAGCACATGTTCTTACTGCACTTCAGCAGCAATCACACCAGGCCTGAGCATGTATTGACCTGCTGGTTGCTCCTCGGTTGAGATGTCAAGCCTCTGTTTGGGCTGTCTGTTTGTGGTCTTACCATACTCCTCACTCAGCCTACTAGAGACTGGGCTCAGACATTAACTGAGGATGAGTGGTAGTGTGGCATTCAGTGTATTCAGAAAGTATTCAGACCCCTTGACTTTTTCAACATTTTGTTACATTACAGCCTTATTCTAAAATGGATGAAATTATTTTATTCCCCTCATCAATCTACACACAATATCCCATAATGACAAATCAAAAACAGTTATTTAGAAAATGTTGCACATGTATTAAAAATAAAAATGGAAATATGACATTTACATAAGTATTCAGACCCTTTACTCAGTACTTTGTTGAAGCACCTTTGGCAGCAATTACAGCCTCGAGTCTTCTTGGGTATGACGCTACAAGCTTGGCACACCTTTATTTGGGGTGTTTCTCCCATTCCTCTCAAGCTATGTCAGGTTGGATGGGGAGTGTCGCTGCACAGCTATTTTCAGGTCTCTCCAGAGATATTAGATCGGGTTCAAGTCCAGGCTCTGGCTGGGCCACTCAAGGACAGTCAGAGACTTGTCCCGAAGCCACTCCTGCGTTGTCTTGGCTGTGTGCTTAGGGTTGTTATCCTGTTGGAAGGTGAACCTTTGCCCCAGTCTGAGGTCCTGAGCGACAAGTCTGAGGTCTGGAGCAGGTTTTCATCAAGGATCTCTCTGTACTTTGCTCTGTTCATCTTTCCCTCGATCCTGACTAGTCTCCCAGTCCCTGCCGCTGAAAAACATCCCCACAGCATGATGCTGCCACCACCATGCTTCACCGTAGGGATGGTGCCAGGTTTCCTCCAGATGTGACGCTTGGCATTCAGGCAAAGAGTTCAATCTTGGTTTCATCAGACCAGAGAATCTTATTTATCATGGTCTGAGAGTCCTTTAGGTGCCTTTTGGCAGACTCCAAGCAGGCTAACATGTGCCTTTTACTGAGGAGTGGCTTCCGTCTGGCCACTCTACCATAAAGGCCTGATTGGTGGAGTGCTGCAGAGATGGTTGTCCTTCTGATTCTCCCATAGGAACTCTGGAGCTCTATCAGAGTGACCATTGGGTTCTTGGTCACCTCCATGACCAAGGTCCTTCTCCCCCGATTTCTCAGTTTGGCTGGGCGGCCAGCTCTAGGAAGAGTCTTGGTGGTTCCAAACTTCTCCCATTTAAGAATAATGGAGGCCACTGTGTTCTTGGGGACCTTCAATGCTGCAGACATTTTTTGGTACCCTTCCCTAGATCTGTGCCTCAACACAATCCTGTCTCGGAGCTCTACGGACAATTCCTTCGACCTCATGGCTTGGTTTTTGCTCTGACATGCACTGTCAACTGTGGGACCTTATATAAACAGGTGTGTGCCTTTCCAAATCATGTCCAATCAATTGAATTTACCACAGGTGGACTCCAATTGCAAACATTTCTAAAAACCTGTTTCACATTGTCATTATGGGGTATTGTGTGTAGATTGATGAAGAAAAACAATGATTTAATACATTTTAGAATAAGGCTGTAACGTAACAAAATGTGGAAAAAGCCAAGGGGTCTGAATACTTTCCAAATGCACTGTAAATGGAAACCAGCCTACTAGAGACTGGGCTCAGACATTAACTGTGAAGGCGTGGTAGTGTGGCATACATGGAAACATTCAGTCATAAGCTCTACATTGAAATTACAGTAAAAGTAATATAGTTTAGCCATTACTTGAGAATGCATGGCAGAAATGGAAACATTCAGTCAAATATCTCCTCTGTAAAATGACAGTGAAATCATTGCAAAGCAAGATCTGTCTGAAGAATCACTGACTGAAGGTATTGAAATCAGGTGATTAGGTCAGTAAAGATTCCAGAGTACACATTTACACAGATCAATACATCAATGTTATGTCAGGTTCCTAGAAATCGATTGTCCAACCCAGATTACACCACCATTACACCTCTGATATCTTGGATCAACCACAGGAGGTACAAATTGTACATTTTGCATTGCAAGCCAGAACCAAATCAACAATGACATCTCAAATTTGACTATTTTAAGCACCTCAAGCATGTCTTTTGGTTCCTGTTTTTCTGTAGCTTCACACAGAGTTGAATGTAACCGGGCTGGTTTGTGGAATGAACCATAAGGGACTTTACACCCTTCTGTCAAATGAAGTGCTATTGATTGAAAAGCCAGGGGGAAGGAACCAGTTTGCCTGCCTATGTATTGACTACATACAGTATTCATTGTACTGTACACTCAGTAGTTAATTGAGGGTTGAGCAAGCTCTCCAGGCAGTCTTCTCTCTATGCTGGTGTTTCTATGGCAACAAAGCCCTCAGCTTTTGTTGCAGAATGAACACACTGCTGTGAATTTCAGAGGACCCCCACTCCCTCCCTCCCTCTTCCTCTTCCTCCCTCCTCTTCCTCCCCTCTCCCTTCCTCCCCTTCCTCCCCTCTCCCTCCCTCCCCTCCCCTCCCCTTCCTCCCCTCTCCCTCTCTCCAAAAAAGAGAGAAAAATGTTAGTGATCACTAATAAGAAGACGTGTGCATAGTATGACATGATGGTTTCGTCTTCAGTGAAATCAAGTTAGAAAATGCAACATAGGTCTGCACAGTTGATTGGTAGGCCTGACCTATATGGAGCAATAGCTTAGTTGTGACACAGAAAGAACGCTAGAGCCCTCTCTTTTGAGAGCTTGTGTATCCATTTATCGAAAGATAATTTTGCATAATTTCTAAAGAGCTAAACAGTGCTTTTCTACAGGCAACGGTGACCAAGCTCTTCCTGAAATGACTAACTCATCTCTTAAAACACCTTTTGTTTTCTATTCCAGCCTTCCCCTGGTTTGGGATGGACATCGGCGGCACCCTGGTGAAGTTGGTCTACTTCGAGCCCAAGGACATCACGGCGGAGGAGGAGCAGGAGGAGGTGGAGAGCCTGAAGAGCATCCGCCACTTCCTGACCTCCAACGTGGCCTACGGCAACACGGGCATCCGCGACGTCCACCTGGAGCTGAAGAACCTGACCATGTGCGGCCGGAAGGGCAACCTGCACTTCATCCGCTTCCCCACCCAGGACATGCTGGGCTTCATCCAGATGGGCCGAGATAAGAACTTCTCCAGCCTGCACACCACACTCTGCGCCACCGGCGGAGGGGCCTACAAGTTTGAGGAGGACTTTAGGACGGTGCGTGATGGTTGGAGGAACTGTTGGGTGTTGTCAGACAGGGAGAGTGACTGATAGTGACAGACTATGTGAATTCATGTGCTATTGTGTGTTATTACATGTGTCATTAGTCAGTTAAAGATCGCGTGGCATGATAATTTACATTTACATTTAAGTCATTTAGCAGACGCTCTTATCCAGAGCGACTTACAAATTGGTGCATTCAACTTAGGATAGCCAGTGGGACAACCACCACTGGGGGATCATTGAAGGCAACATGGTTTCTCATGTGATTAGATGAGAGTAGGTGTACAGTAAGGGAAAAAAGTATTTGATCCCCTGCTGATTTTGTACGTTTGCCCACTGACAAAGAAATGATCAGTCTATAATTTTAATGGTAGGTTTATTTGAACAGTGAAAGACAGAATAACAACAAAAAAATCTAGAAAAACGCATGTCAAAAATTTTATAAATTGATTTGCATTTTAATGAGGGAAATAACTATTTGACCCCTCTGCAAAACATGACTTAGTACTTGGTGGCAAAACCCTTGTTGGCAATCACAGAGGTCAGACGTTTCTTGTAGTTGGCCACCAGGTTTGCACACATCTCAGGAGGGATTTTGTTCCACTCCTCTTTGCAGATCTTCTCCAAGTCATTAAGGTTTCGAGGCTGACGTTTGGCAACTCGAACCTTCAGCTTCCTCCACATATTTTCTATGGGATTAAGGTCTGGAGACTGGCTAGGCCACTCCAGGACCTTAATGGGCTTCTTCTTGAGCCACTCCTTTGTTGCCTTGGCTGTGTGTTTTGCGTCATTGTCATGCTGGAATACCCATCCACGACCCATTTTCAATGCCCTGGCTGAGGGAAGGAGGTTCTCACCCAAGATTTGACGGTACATGGCCCCGTCCATCGTCCCTTTGATGCGGTGAAGTTGTCCTGTCCCCTTAGTAGAAAAACACCCCCAAAGCATAATGTTTCCACCTCCATGTTTGACGGTGGGGATGGTGTTCTTGGGGTCATAGGCAGCATTCCTCCTCCTCCAAACACGGCGAGTTGAGTTGATGCCAAAGAGCTCGATTTTGTTCTCATCTGACCACAACACTTTCAATCAGTTCTCCTCTGAATCATTCAGATGTTCATTGGCAAACATCAGACGGCCCTGTATATGTGCTTTCTTGAGCAGGGGGACCTTGCGGGCGCTGCAGGATTTCAGTCCTTCATGGCGTAGTGTGTTACCAATTGTTTTCTTGGTGACTATGGTCCCAGCTGCCTTGAGATCATTGACAAGATCCTCCCGTGTAGTTCTGGGCTGATTCCTCACCGTTCTCATGATCATTGCAACTCCACGAGGTGAGATCTTGCATGGAGCCCCAGGCAGAGGGAGACTGACAGTTCTTTTGTGTTTCTTCCATTTGCGAATAATCGCACCAACTGTTGTCACCTTCTCACCAAGCTGCTTGGCGATGGTCTTGTAGCCCATTCCAGCCTTGTGTAGCCTTGTGTCTACAATCTTGTCCCTGACATCCTTGGAGAGCTCTTTGGTCTTGGCCATGGTGGAGAGTTTGGAATCTGATTGATTGATTGCTTCTGTGGACCTTTTATACAGGTAATAAACTGAGATTAGGAGCACTCCCTTTAAGAGTGTGCTCCTAATCTCAGCTCGTTACCTGTATAAAAGATACCTTGGAGCCAGAAATCTTTCTGATTGAGAGGGGGTCAAATACTTATTTCCCTCATTAAAATGCAAATCAATTTATAACATTTTTGACATGCGTTTTTCTGGATTTTTTTGTTGTTATTCTGTCTCTCACTGTTCAAATAAACCTACCATTAAAATTATAGACTGATCATTTCTTTGTCAGTGGGCAAACGTACAAAATCAGCAGGGGATCAAATACTTTTTTTCCCTCACACCCTCTAGGTATGTTACAGACAGCATGCTCAAACTTGGAGGAGTTACCATTGCATATCAAAACCACTCCAGTTTCTCCTTCTGTCTTATAGATCTTATGCTTTCCATCTCCCAGATCGCCAACCTAGAGCTACAGAAGCTAGACGAACTGGATTGTCTTATCCAGGGGCTTCTCTATGTGGACTCAGTGGGGTTCAATGGCCATCCAGAGTGCTACTTTTTCGAGAACCCCTCCGACCCCGAAAGTGAGAACTGTGTCAAGAGAACGTGTTGCCTTGACAACCCCTTCCCCATGTTGTTGGTAAACATTGGCTCGGGCGTCAGCATCCTGGCAGTCTATTCGAAGGACAACTACAAACGGGTCACAGGCACCAGGTAAATAAATGTCATCTGATGCTGTTTTAGTGTAAGCAAACAGAGGTCATTCTGTGTCACTCCACATCATGATAGCTGTATGTATTTAATCTGATAACACAGTTCTGTCACAATATCTTGCTCGCATCCATCTGTTTTCAATGTATTCATGTTTTGAGTGTAGATAATAGTTACCATGACAACTAGTTAATAACTTCTTAGTCAAATAAAACTTTCCAACTGGGCAAAACTGGTTGAATCAATGTTGTTTCCATGTCATTTAAATTTTAAAAAATCATTTTTTTTATAGAATCTTATTTAACGTTGAATCTCAGTGGAAACATTTCTGGATGTGAAAAAAATTCAGTCAGGGATTTTTTTTTTTGTGTGTGTTTTTTTGACCCAACTTTTAACCTAAATCCAATGACCCAGTGAATTTTTTTTGTTGATTTCACGTTGAATTCACATTAGTTGACAACTCAACCAAATATAAACCAAAACTAGACGTAGAAATATCGTAGAAAGCCCAGTGGGTTGTTTCCTGCAAGCTAAACAGATATGTACAACCCATAGAGTAGTAGCTCACATAATTGCCTGTCCCCCACAGTTTGGGAGGTGGGACGTTCCTAGGCCTGTGCTGCTTGCTGACTGGCTGCGAGACATTTGAGGAGGCCCTGGAAATGGCGGCGAAGGGGGACAGCAGCAACGTGGACAAACTGGTGAAGGACATCTACGGAGGAGACTATGAACGCTTCGGGCTCCAGGGGTCTACTGTTGCATCTAGGTGAGTTCTAAGTTAACTAATACATGTTGTTACCTCAAGACCTCAAGTAACAATATGCTTTGAAAACGGAGTATAATGGAAACTAACCCAATGAATTATTTATTGCAGTTTTGGTCATATGATGAGCAAGGAGAAGCGTGACAGCATCAGTAAGGAGGACCTAGCCCGAGCCACTCTCGTCACCATCACCAACAACATTGGTTCTATTGCTCGTATGTGTGCGGTTAATGAGGTACGAAGGCAAAGATTGTTGTCACATTAGCAATCAAATTCCGTTTTACTTCGTTGAGTCATTCAAATAGTGAGAATATACAGGTAACTGACAAAAATAATGGGAACACTTGTTGGTGTTTCCTTTATTTTGTCAGTTACCTGGAGCATACTGGGGTGTGACAGAAGGGTAAAAGTTCTCACCGTTATTTTCTTTCATCATGAAACAAAGGAGTGAAGTGGACAGCCAGTGTGATGGATGATGGGAATGGACTCTGTGTTCTTTCAGCTTCTTTACAGTGTTGCCTTGTGGCATGGAGATCAAGCAGCATTGTACAGGGCTATCAAAGCACACAGAACAACAACAGTAAAAGCTTGTTCTCTACCTACATTTTAGAACCTAAAATGTTCTCTACCTACAGTATATAGTACTCTAAATACCCCAATTCATGTTGTTAAGTTCAAAAGAATACAAGATAAAATTGCTGACACTATTCAAACCAATGAGGGTTCGGAACTTTAAATCCAATTATCTCAGAATCATATTTTTGCAGATAGAACCTTAGGGGGGCTTTCAGACCAAATTAATTTGGTGTTTTATTTACGAACTTTGGTGTTTTATTTCCGGACTGGTGTGAACACTATCCGCACTCGGGAGCACACTAAACAACGCACCGTGGTTCGCTCAAAAAGGGGTGGTCTCAGTCCGATTCAATTCGTACTGTGGTGCAGTTCACTGCCCCTTGAGCAACCCCATTGTAATGTTTTGAGCGCAATGTGCACAAGTGTTTCTAGCTACCTATGCATGTAGAGTCCAGTGAATTAATTGGGGGAAGTCTTACGACATGCCTGAACAGTACACTGCCTTTTTTGCTTTGGTGGATTTTTATTTAGAATGAACAGTCTTGTTATTCTGGCAGCCCCGCAACTATGTAATTAACGGAAGTTGAGCTGTTCATTATTGGCTATTGCTCAACCTTTCTCTCCCTTGCTGCTCAGTCACTGAAGCATAAGACAGATTCTTCCACTGCTGTTACTTCAGGTTCTCTCCCCTAGATGGCAGCCAGACACCCATCTATGCTATTAATATGAGAGTAGGCCCAAGGTCTTCAAACTAATATTTTTGTGGACATAAATTACTTTTAAAATATCGCATTCTGTCTTGCTTTGTGAAACAGTCATTCTAAAAAAGTCTGGTTTACCAATGGTTCAATGTTGTCTTTCAGAAAATTGAAAGAGTGGTGTTTGTTGGGAATTTCCTGAGAATCAATACTGTGTCAACGAAGCTGCTTGCGTACGCCATGGACTTTTGGTCCAAAGGACAATTAAAAGCTCTCTTCTTAGAGCATGAGGTAAGTAGTTTGCGATATGGTCATATGCTCATTGGAATGCATTGATCTAAGGGCAGTGTCACTGAGTCACTTCACAATGCAATTTGTACAAAGTATGTGTAGTGTGAGGGATGTTTCTGTGCTCTAAGGGGCCGATTCAGACGTAGGAAATCTAAGCTTTTTTACGCGTTTTGATTTAAGCACTTCAAATCAAATTTTATTTGTCACATGCGTCGAATACAACAGGTGTAGACCTTACCGTGAAATGCTTACTTACAAGCTCTTAACCAACAATGCAGTTCAAGAAATAGAGTTAATAAATATTTACTAAATAAACTAAAGTTAAAAATAAAATAAAAGTGACACAATTAAATAACAATAATGAGGCTATATACAGGGTGTACCGGTACCGAGTCAATGTGCAGGTGTACAGGTTAGTCGATAATTTGTACATGTAGGTAGGGGTAAAGTGACTATGTATAGATTATAATAAACAGCGAGTAGCAGCAGTGTAAAAACAAAGGGGGGGGGGGGGGGGGGGGGGGGGGGGAGGGGGGGGGGGGGGGCAGCAATGTAAATAGTCCGGGTGGCCATTTGATGAATTGTTCAGCGGTCTTATGGCTTGGCTCAGTAGTATTCAGACTTACCTTGTGCAGGTGCGTAACACGCTTTGTGGGTGTGTCTCCCTTACGCCCGCTAAAAACCCTCCCACTTGTTGGCCAATAGATTTTATCGTGGAGTTTTCATTCAATAGGGTTTTCAGTACATTTATCAAAAGCAATCCCTTTAAATATGGTGTACCTTTTAATTAGATTTTTCTGAAGACTCACTAGAATAAATTGAAAGAATGGGTTCAGAATATTAGAGATCAATGAAAGAAAGCCATCTAAATATATGCATATTCGTCTCCGTTTCAGCACCAATTGGTAGATTTAAAAATACTCTGATCTTGTAAATTATTTAGGGCTCAGAAAATATTCATGAATAATGAAAAAGACTGGTCTGGAGAGCATTTACGCACAAAATATATTGGTGAATCAAAAATACAGTTGTTGATTCTTCCTGAAAGTTGCCATATTCAATTGTTCAAGCCATGAAATATTGGATGGGGAAGAAAGTGTAGAATAGTGGTTGAACAATAGTTATATAAATCCACCCTAATCCTCTGCGTTCCATAATGATTCCAATAGGCTACATGTCCCAAATTATTGCACAACTTGTAAGACGTTAGCCTAATATTATCCACTATTGCTAGAGACTCTCATGAACGACCACACAGACGTGACCGAGGAAAGAAAGGTCAACGAATGATGCTAAAATGTAGGCTACAAATTGAAACGAACACTAAGTGACAGTTATAAATATATGTGGCACAGGAGGCTGCTGAGGGGAGGACGGCTCATAATAATAGCTCAAATGGAGTGAATGGAATGGTATCAAACACATGGAAACAATGTGTTTGATTAGTTCGATTACCATTCCATTTATTCCTTTCCAGCCATATACAGACCACATGGCGCCGGAGGGGATGGCTGCCGTTTTACGGGCTCCTAACCAACTGTGCTATTTTGTTAGTTTTTTCGCATTGTTTGTAACTCATTTTGTACATAATGTTGTTGCTACCTTCTCTTTTGACCGAAAATAACTTCTGGACATCAAATCAGCAATTACTCACCTCGAAATGGACAAAGATTTTTTTATTTAATGAGTCTGACGCGAAGAATATACTTCTTTGTCAAGACAAGGCCCAAATCCCCGTCATCAGTGTGAAGAAAAGACAGAGAAAAAGGGGGAGGAGGGTTTGGTGCCTTGTAAGAATTTGCTGATGAGTAGGTAAACCACCATTACCCTCTGTTTTATTGGCCAACGTGCAATCATTGGAAAACAAACAGGAAAATCTACGATTAAGACTATCCTACCAACGGGACAGTAAAACTGTAATATCTTATGTTTCACCGAGACGTGGCTGAGCGACGACACGGATAATATAGAGCTGGCTGGCTTCGCCGTGCATCGGCAGGACAGAGCTGCTACGTCTGGTAAGACGAGAGGCGGGGGTGTGTGTCTATTTGTCAATGACTGCTGGTGCGCGATGTCTAATATTAAAGAAGTCTCGAGCTATTGCTCGCCTGAGGTAGAGTACCTCATGATAGGCTGTAGACCACACTATCTACCTAGAGAGTTCTCATCTATATTATTCGTAGCTGTCTATTTACCACCACAAACCGATGCTGGCACTAAGAGCGCACTCAACGAGCTATATAAGGCCATGAGCAAACAAGAAAATGCTCATCCGGAAGCGGCGATTCTAGTGGCCGGGGACTTCATCCAATGGCATTGAGGAGTATACCACCTCAGTCACCGGCTTCATCAATAAGTGCATCGACGACGTCGTCCCCACAGTGACCGTACGTACATATCCCAACCAGAAGCCATGGATTACAGGCAACATCCGCACCGAGCTAAAGGCTAGAGCTGCCACTTTCAAGGAGTGGGACACTAATCCGGACGCTTATAAGAAAGCCCGCTATGCCCTCAGATTAATCCTCAAACAGGCAAAGCGTCAGTACAGGACTAAGATTGAATCCTACTACACCGGCTCTGACGCTCGTCGGATGTGGCAGGGCTTGAAAACTATTATGGACTACAAAGGGAAACCCAACCGCGAGCTGCCCAGTGACGCGAGCCTACCAGACGAGCTAAATGCCTTTTAACTGGCAAGTGTCTTCACTGACATTTTCAACCTCTCCCTGACCGAGTCTGTAATACCTACATAAGGGTAGGCAACAACACATCTGCCATGCTGATCCTCAACACTGGGGCCCCTCAGGGGTGCGTGCTTAGTCCCCTCCTGTACTCCCTGTTCACCCACGACCCTGTGGCCAAGCACGACTCCAACACCGTCATTAAGTTTGCTGACGACACAACAGTGGTAGGCCTGATCACAGACAATGATGAGACAGCCTATAGGGAGGAGGTCAGAGACCTGGCAATGTGGTGCCAGGACAACAATCTCTCCCTCAGTGTGAGCAAGACAAAGGAGCTGATCGTGGACTATAGGAAAAGGAAGGCCGAACAGGCCCCCATTCACATCGACAGGGCTGAAGTGGAGCAGGTCGAGAGTTTGAAGTTCCTTGGTGTCCAAATCACCAACAAACTATCATGGTCCAAACACACCAAGACAGTTGTGAAGAGGGCACGACAATACATTTTCCCCCTCAGGAGACTGAAAAGATTTGGCATGGGTCCCCAGATCCTAAAAAGTTCTACAGCTGCACCATCGAGAGAATCCTGACCGGTTGCATCACCGCCTGGTATGGCAACTGCTCGGCATCCGACCCTAAGGCGCTACAGATGGTAGTGCGTACAGCCCAGTACATCACTGGGGCCGAGCTTCCTGACATCCAGGACCTATATACTAGGCGGTGTCAGAGGAAGGCCCAAAAAATTGTCAAAGACTCCAGTCACCCAAGTCATAGACTCCGTTACCGGAGCGCCAAGTCTAGGACCAAAAGGCTCCTTAACAGCTTCTACCCCCAAGCCATAAGACTGCTGAACAATTAATAAAATGGCCACCCAGACCCCCCCCCCCCCCCCCCCCCCTTTGTTTTTACACTGCTGCTACTCGCTGTTTATTGTCTATGCATAGTCACTTTACAAATTACCTTGACTAACCTGTACCCCGGCACATTGACTCGGTATCGGTACCCCCTGTATATAGCCTCGTTACTGTTATGTAATTTTGTTGTGTTACTTAATTATTATTTTAAAAAAAAAAAATCGTAAATATTTTCGTAACTTTATTTATTGAACTGCATTGTTGGTTAAGGGCTTGTAAGTAAAAATTTCATCATTTTTATTTACAATCCGCTTATCTGAAAGGATTACTCTCTTATCAATAGTAAATTACAGTGCTTGGAGAATGGTGTTATTTCTATCGGGGGGAAAAGTTGATGTTTTTCCACTTGGAACCGATAGGTTGCTTGACCTTTTTCATGGTTTCCTTGCTCGTGAAGATGGTGGAATTATGAGGGAATTAAGTAAAGGTCAGAATACGCGTATCTGTAGACACACCTTTACCACACCTCCATTTCTGCGATCTCCACCCCAAACGAATACCTGGCTGGGACATATGTTTCCCCGTGCTTCAGTTCAAAGGTCAGAATGCGTGCAGAGAGGATATTGTGTGTGTGAAAACATCCTTTGTAAGTCGCTCTGGATAAGAGCGTCTGCTAAATGACTTAAATGTTAAATGTTAAATAATTACGTTTCATGTACTCAAGCAGCACACTTGTAGTTGTTTTAGTCTCCTAATTGTACCATGAAAAGGGTCAACAACAGATCATCTGCATATACACTGCTCAAAAAAATAAAGGGAACACTAAAATAACACATCCTAGATCTGAATGAATGAAATAATCTTATTAAATACTTTTTTCTTTACATAGTTGAATGTGCTGACAACAAAATCACACAAAAATGATCAATGGAAATCAAATGTATCAACCCATGGAGGTCTGGATTTGGAGTCACCCTCAAAATTAAAGTGGAAAACCACACTACAGGCTGATCCAACTTTGATGTAATGTCCTTAAAACAAGTCAAAATGAGGCTCAGTAGTGTGTGTGGCCTCCACGTGCCTGTATGACCTCCCTACAACGCCTGGGCATGCTCCTGATGAGGTGGTCTCCTGAGGGATCTCCTCCCAGACCTGGACTAAAGCATCCGCCAACTCCTGGACAGTCTGAGGTGCAACGTGGCGTTGGTGGATGGAGCGAGACATGATTTCCCAGATGTGCTCAATTGGATTCAGGTCTGGGGAACGGGCGGTCCATAGCATCAATGCCTTCCTCTTGCAGGAACTGCTGACACACTCCAGCCACATGAGGTCTAGCATTGTCTTGCATTAGGAGGAACCCAGGGCCAACCGCACCAGCATATGGTCTCACAAGGGGTCTGAGGATCTCATCTCGGTACCTAATGGCAGTCAGGCTACCTCTGGCGAGCACATGGAGGGCTGTGCGGCCCCCCAAAGAAATGCCACCCCACACCATGACTGACCCACCGCCAAACCGGTCATGCTGGAGGATGTTGCAGGCAGCAGAACGTTCTCCACGGCGTCTCCAGACTCTGTCACGTCTGTCACATGTGCTCAGTGTGAACCTGCTTTCATCTGTGAAGAGCACAGGGCGCCAGTGGCAAATTTGCCAATCTTGGTGTTCTCTGGCAAATGCCAAACGTCCTGCACGGTGTTGGGCTGTAAGCACAACCCCCACCTGTGGATGTCGGGCCCTCATACCACCCTCATGGAGTCTGTTTCTGACCGTTTGAGCAGACACATGCACATTTGTGGCCTGCTGGAGGTCATTTTGCAGGGCTCTGGCAGTGCTCCTCCTGCTCCTCCTTGCACAAAGGCGGAGGAAGCAGTCCTGCTGCTGGGTTGTTGCCCTCCTACGGCCTCCTCCACGTCTCCTGATGTACTGGCCTGTCTCCTGGTAGCGCCTCCATGCTCTGGACACTACGCTGACAGACACAGCAAACCTTCTTGCCACAGCTCGCATTGATGTGCCATCCTGGATGAGCTGCACTACCTGAGCCACTTGTGTGGGTTGTAGACTCCGTCTCACTTTCACCACTAGAGTGAAAGCACCGCCAGCATTCAAAAGTGACCAAAACATCAGCCAGGAAGCATAGGAACTGAGAAGTGGTCTGTGGTCACCACCTGCAAAACCAGTCCTTTATTGGGGGGTGTCTTGCTAATTGCCTATAATTTCCACCTGTTGTTTATTCCATTTGCACAACAGCATGTGAAATGTATTGTCAATCAGTGTTGCTTCCTAAGTGGACAGTTTGATTTCACAGAAGTGTGATTGACTTGGAGTTACATTGTGTTGTTTAAGTGTTCCCTTTATTTTTTTGAGCAGTGTATATGGATAGGTTACGATTGGGCGCTGAGCAGGAATCTCAAGGTTGCTGATGATAATAACTTGGTCAAATACCTGATCAGATAATGAACTGACCTGAGCCCTCTGTGTTTTATAGGGTTATTTTGGGGCCGTCGGTGCCTTCCTGGAGCTACTGAGAATCACAGACGACCTTTAAGACAGACAGACGGACGCAGACGAAACTCTGACCGTAAGACGCTGCTGCTCTACAGTTCCGGAAAAGCCACTGACTGGCCAAAATGGGGAAAAATCCATTTGAATAATTTAACTGTTTTAAGAGGTTCTACTAATTATCCTCCTCCTCCTCGTCTGCTGATGTTTTAGAAAACTGATTTTTTATATTATGAATGCAGGCTGGAGGAGATGAGGTTGGCATTTTATTTGCCACTGAAAAGTAAACCTTCCTGGTACTTGCTGTATATAGTGTGCTTAAGCCAAACCCTACTGATTCCTGATCATATGTGTGTTTTTCTTTGATTCCTTATTTGTTCTTTTCTTTTTACAAGATGTAAGTAGTTAAAATGATCTTTAACTTAGGAGCATTAGCTTTCAACTATCCTTCACACTTTTTTCCTAATCAATCATCCTAACCCAGTGTTCTGTGATATCATTTGAGATATAATCAAATGTATTATCCTACTGTACATATGAATCGTAAGCAGTTACTCTATCAACCCATTCTGTCAACCTGTCATCTGTGGTTTGGCCAATTTGTGAAATATTGACCATTAAGCAGTAGCTAAATTTGACAAAAAATGTTGCGGGTTGATTTTGTGTAATAATACACTGCAATACCTCATAGAACATTTAATATAATGGATATTTTTTATCAGTAGCAGTGGAATGACCAGTTCCCCAAATCCTTCCTCTGCATTCACTTGAATCCAGTATTCTGTCTATCCTTCCCTGTCCCATGCCTTATAATTCCGTCGCTGTTTTAATGAAACCGTTAACTTTGGGACCAAGCATTCAGTACTAAATGATCCTTAGAAACTTCACAAAGTAGAGATGTTCCTCAGAAAAGCCGACTCACTGACATGGACTAGCCTAGCAGGTGCGATACAAAGTGTCCATTGTGAGTCATGAAGTGACTTTTCAAGAGTTCTATAAATAGTTAATTCTACAGTTCTGTTTTCATTCTCATCAAAGAGGGGGTCCATTTCTGCTTGACTTCCTACCTGTAATAATCAGTATGTGTTTTATGATTGTAATTGAATATGTTTTGGACGTACTGTATTGAGTACTCTAGTCGAAAGGAGATTTGATTCTCCTACTGTATCTCTCGGTTAAATTTCATGATGGCATTTGGTTTCAAGTGAAACTGCATAGCTGGCCTGTGAACCGCTGTGTGCTGCATACCCCTTCTGCCTTCCTGCCCTCTTCAGAGGGCCCCGTGACCAACCTCCTCATCCAAACGATAAACCCAGGCTGCTTCTGAAATGGCACCCTATTCCATATAGTGTGATACTTTGGAACAGATCACCCTATTCCCTATATAGTGCACTACTTTTGACCAGAGCCCATGATTTTGGTCAAAAGGTGCCATCTTGGACTTATCCCCAGACTGATTTAGCTAACTTCATACATGTTTATTTTTAATCTCAATGCAACCTGGGGGAGTTTTCAGTTGTACGTTAGGACAGATTTTCAAATGTGCTTAATGGATTTTACATTACTGTATAGAACATGGCGAATAATAATAATAATAATAATAATAATAATATATGTAACTCTGAACCTGATTGAACTGGATTACTGACCTGGGCCTTGCCATAGATTCAGCCATGCTTCATTGCCGTCATTAAAACTGTTCTCTAAACTGTTTTGTCTAACCTGATGAGATGTTGAGTTTGTTGCATTCACTTCCTGATGTACCGCCTTTTCCTGTTGTGCCTATAAGACTTGCTTAGTAAAGAAGGCACAGTATTTCGTGATACGTACAGTGCCTAGTGAAAGTCTACAGACCCTTGCACCGTTTTCACATTTTGCTGCCTTCAATTCAATTTCAAATTAAAAAGGGATTCAGTTGAGATGTTCTCCCACGGATCTACACAAGCTACTTCACATTTTCAAAGTGAAAGAAACATTTGAAATGTTCTGAAATGAATAAAAAAAGGAATAAGTCTTGATTGCAAAGGTCTTCACACCCCTTGCTGTGGCACATCTAAAATACATTTAGGAGCAAATACTTTAATGAAAAAATGACCATTTGTTGAATGAGGTCCGTCTGTTTGCAAAAGTAGTGGTTCTCATGATTTAATAACACCCCTGTCTGTGTATGGTCCCTCAGTTGGAAAGTCAATGTCAAACAATGAGCTTCATGAGCATGTCTGGGATACATTTTTATACAGGCATAGATCAGGGGAGGTTAAGAAATAACTCTAAGTCACCTAATATCCCTTTGAGTATGGTCAAATATGGTAATTAGAACACTGAATTTAATAGGATCTTTATTGTGGCAGCGTCATATTATGGGAATGTCACCGACGGTGACTGGGGAGTTCGTCAGGATCAAAGAAACTTGAAACACTAGAATGGCTTTCCAATAGTTGTTGAGTGGTCCAGTCTCAATGCTGACTTAAATATGCTTGAAAATCTGAGTTTGTCAGGATCAAAATAAATATGAAAGGAGCAAAGCCCAGGTTAAAAGTTAGAGCAAAACCTACCTCTGTCTTCTGAAAACCTAACCCTGGGATAGAGTTATTTTTAGGGACAATTCTACAAATGTTTATGCAAAAGACAGACTAGAATGGCTTTCCAAGAGGTGTTGAGTGTTCCTGAGTGGTCTAGTCTCAGTGCTGCTTATAAAAAATCTGAGACAAGGCTTAAATATCGCTGTCCATCGCTGAGCAATTTTGACAAAAATAATGGAAATACATGGATGTTGCCCTAAAAGTTGTGCAAAGTTGGTGGAATTTAATTCAATATTATTCACAACTGTAATTGCTGCTAAAGGTGCCTCCACCAATTATGAACTCTGGAGTGTGAAGACCTACGCAATCAAGACAACTTTGTTTTCTTATATAGTATATAGTATTTTTTTTCACTGAAAATATCGAGTAGGTTGTGTAGATCAGTAGGGGGGAAAATCGAATTGAATAATTTTGTACACAAATATGTAAGGCAGCAAAATGTAAAAACTGTGCAAGGGGTGCGTAGACTTTCACCAGGCTCTGTATATTGCTACTTATAATATACTCACTAAACTGTATATCAGAGACTTTCACATGGACTTTGGAATTCCTGTACGACCCTTAGCTTCCAAATATCATGGGGTGCCTTTGATTACACAGACTCGGCATAACCTCTGACCACTGAAACCTCTGGTAGTCCAGCCTCCATTTTGTTCTGACTTGACTTTGCTATGTTATGGAGTGAGTGCCCCAGGGTTCTTTTAGGTGTGGCAAAGTATGAAAACAGAGTGTTTTATGGTGTGTGTGTGCGCGCATGTGCGCCCGCAGGGTTGGGGAGTAAATTATTACATGCAATCAGTTACATGTAATCTGAATACAAAAAATCTGTAACTGTAATCAGTTACATTACCAGCAAAAATATTGTAATCAGATTACAGATACTTTTGAAAAACTGGATTACTTTTAAATTCAGAAAGGATTTTTGCAAAAAAAAATACATGACAGCTTTCTGTTTTCTCAATGACATTCAAATCAGCATTGAAAAAAGGTGCAAGTTGAAGTTTGTTCCACCTGAGAGAGTCTGACCAGAAGTCAGAGACCACTATGATGACACACCTAATGATGACCACCAATCAGAGACCACTATGATGACACACCTAATGATGACCACCAATCAGAGACCACTATGATGACACACCTAATGATGACCACCAATCAGAGACCACTATGATGACACACCTAATGATGACCACCAATCAGAGACCACTATGATGACACACCTAATGATGACCACCAATCAGAGACCACTATGATGACACACCTAATGATGACCACCAATCAGAGACCACTATGATGACACACCTAATGATGACCACCAATCAGAGACCACTATGATGACACACCTAATGATGACCACCAATCAGAGACCACTATGATGACACACCTAATGATGACCACCAATCAGAGACCACTATGATGACACACCTAATGATGACCACCAATCAGAGACCACTATGATGACACACCTAATGATGACCACCAATCAGAGACCACTATGATGACACACCTAATGATGACCACCAATCAGAGACCACTATGATGACACACCTAATGATGACCACCAATCAGAGACCACTATGATGACACACCAAATGATGACCACCAATCAGAGACCACTATGATGACACACCAAATGATGACCACCAATCAGAGACCACTATGATGACACACCAAATGATGACCACCAATCAGAGACCACTATGATGACACACCTAATGATGACCACCAATCAGAGACCACTATGATGACACACCAAATGATGACCACCAATCAGAGACCACTTGTGATGACACACCTAAGGATGACCACCAATCAGAGACCACTATGATGACACACCAAATGATGACCACCAATCAGAGACCACTATGATGACACACCAAATGCTTTTGATGGATCCTTTTTGTCTTCTTCTAATGCCTCTTAAGGGGAAAGTAATCCCAAAGTAACTGAGTAATCTACTGTACTTTACTGAGTTTGGGTAATCCAAAAATTACGTTACTGATTATAATTTTGGACCGGTAATTACTAACTGTGATGGACTACATTTAGAAAGTAACCTACCCAACCCTGTGTGTGTGTGCAGGTGTGAGTTTTTGTGTTGGAGAGGTCTGTGTGTGCCTGAGAGCTCATTGAAACCTTTTTTTGTTCTGCATTTGTACACCCATTGTGTAATAAAGTATTTACTAAGTGAGGAACGTTTCCTTAATTTTTTTCCAGTATCGCAAAACATGACTATTATAGGCCCCTCCCTTCAGGAATTTGGGGACTAAGGAATATGCTATATTATTGTTTGTAACAAGTACGAAGATCAATTGAGGTGTTATACAGTATGTGAGGTTAGTGAATGGAAATGTTGCAGTCATGAGAATTTAGAGAATGTATCTGTCCTCATCTGTCCCCTATCCATCTATCTGTTTTGCAATCCATGTTGACATACCATGCAGATAGCATTGGTAAAGACACTCCTCGATTCCCACGGGGGACCAGTATGAAAAAATGTATGCACTCACTAACTGTAAGTCGCTCTGGATAAGAGCGTCTGCTAAATGTCTAAAATGCAAGATGATGTATATAAAATGGCGTAAAGTATTCACATGATTTAGAAATTAAATCTAACCATTGTAAAGCTTTTTAATATTCCTAAAGACATATTAAGAGGATATAATGATACCGGTTGCTTGTACATAATGTTAATTCGCAGGCCTTACAAAATGTGTGCGGTGCATGTATTGAATTTGTCACGAATTCAGCCGAGGCTGCCCCTCCTCCTTGCTCGGGCAGGTTTCAGCGTTCGTTGTCACCGGCTTACTAGCCACTACCGCTCCATTTATCATCACTCCATTTGTCTTGTCTTGTCTTGTCTTGTCAATCACACACACCTGGTACTCATTCCCTCATTAGTCTGGGTATAAGTGTTCCCTCTGCCCCCTTGTCCTTTGTGAGTGATTGTTCATTGTGAGAGTGAGTAGCTTAGTTGAGCTACTCTTTCCTTGTATGTAGCCAAGGTGGATTTTTCCCTTGTGCTAGTTTCGTTTTGACTCTTGCTGCGCTTTATTCATGTACACTGAATAAACTGATTTCGGTGTTTTACCTCCTGCGCCTGACTCCGTCATTCACACCTCATCACAGAATCACACACACTCTATGGAGTCAGCAGGAGAGGAGCGCATGCCTGGAATAGTGGCAAGGGTCCAGGAACATTCCACTATGCTGGCCAGCTTGGGGGAAGCGATGGATCAGGTTCTTCAGGTCGTCCAATGCCTGGGGAGAAGAGGAACTGATCCGTCGAGAACAGCTGGCCAACCGGATCCAGCCACCTATATCACAGCACCCGGAGGGATCCAGATATCTCGACCATGGGCGTTCGATGGATACCGGCTCTGTGTCAGGGATTCCTTCTCCAACTGGAGCTGTACTGCTCCAGTGTCAGGCCGGCGCCATCAGATCGAGAGCAGGTGTCCGTCCTCATTTCCTGCCTCTCGGGGAAAGACCTGGAGTGGGCCAACGCGGTTTGGAGAGAAGAAGGAGCCGCGTTGGAGGACTACTTCGGGCGGTTTTCGATCACCCGCCCAAGGGTCGAGAGGCGGGGGAGCAGCTGGTCCACTTGAGGCCGGGGACGAGGACAGTACAGGAGTTCGCGCTGGTGTTCCAGATTCTGGCAGCCGGATCCGGGTGGAACAAGCAGGCCCTGATCAACCAGTTCCGGTGCCATCTACGGGAGGACGTCCGACGAGATCTAGCCTGCCGTGACACCAGTTTGTCTTTTACCGAACTGGTGGACATGGA